TATTCATCAAACTTTTAGTATTTTGTTCCTGATTTTCACACTGTGATCTTAAATTTGTCAAGGTATTTTCATTGGTTGCGCAGAATTTATAGGCATCAGACATGGTGTGAGGCTCTAGGAACCCAGTTTCAAATGAACCTTAAAACAACTTTTCGTAATTGTGAAATATTCCTTATCTGCTTCCTCTTATGTGTGTAACAGTGAAGTGGTATAAAGACTGGCCATTCCTTCATTGAGCCAGAGAATTAGAATTAGCATTTATTTAGGGAATTAGGTAAAAACCATTAAATACTCTCAACTCCTGAGTCTTTTCTCTTTTTCTTCTTTTAACCTAAAAGAAGCTTTTAATCACTTAAACGATTTAGGATGAGGAAATGGAAGTTTGGCTTTCACTGTTATCACCTGAGTTAACCAAGTCATTCATTCATTTCTTATGTACTGATTGTCTAACATACTGTCAGGCTCTTGTTTGGGCAGTGGAAATATAAAGATGAAGGACTTAGAGAGTTCACAGTTTGGAAGTGCTGTGGCCAGGTTTAACTCCAGTGAGACAGGAGTGTTTCAGGTTCCTCAGAGGCCATGAATATGCGGATGTGGGAGCCAGACTTTCTTCTAAACCTCATAAAATCCAGTTGTTTAGGGACTGAATGTGTGTGTACTTGGGTCACAAATTAATCTATGAGGAAAACGGACTCTTTTCTGGTCTGGTCTCTTTTCTGGAGTCTCTGCTGTTTGGGAATATACAACCTTGTTCTTTTAATGGGAAATATTCTTTCTTAAAATGGTAATTATTCTAGCCATCTAGAAGCATTTGGAAGAAGTCCTGTGTATCTTCTTTTCTTTTTGGGTATGCACACTGGCCTCCCTACCTGTTTGCCATTTATAATTATGGGCAATTTTTTAGTGTTGTAATGTTTATTCTGATATGCATAGACCCCTGTGGTTTTTAGAACAAGTCACGATATCTCAGGAGATGCAAAATGTTACTGAATTGCATCTGTTTTTGTTTTCTTTGGTGAAGATCTTTGAACAATAATCTGATAACTTGAGAATCAAAATGACATTGTTTCTTCTAGATAAGTTAACCATTGTCACTTTTATGTAGCTAATGCTGTTCATCTGTACTATATATTATCCTTTAGAACTAATTGGACCTTTAATATTTTCATATGAAACTTATTTCTCAGTCATCTTCTTTTCATTGCATTTGATAGGAAACTGATATTTGTGCCTTCCCACCCTCATCTTGGTTTAATGACTTTATTGTAATACAATTAAATTCTCCTTTACTCAGAATCCAGACCATCAACAAGCTTAGATAACCAGATAGATTTTCAAATCTATCTGACCCTGAATCTCATCCAAAATGTTGTCAAAAGAAAGTCCTGTTCAGTATGGTTTTAGGGTTAAAAATATTATTGTATTCCAACTCTTTGATAATCTTCATTCAGTACTTATAGTACTTATCAGGATATTCATAATTACTCAGTTTTTCGGCCTGAAATAAGTACGATGGTATTTTAGATGAGTCGTTTGTGATACATTTACACTCAAAGTGAAGTACAGTATATTGTTAGAGGCAATTTCTAAACAATTAGACCTGGAAAGTAATAAGAACACAAATGATGGCAGCCGTCAATCTTGAATCTTCTGTATTTTTCAGTTTCTAACACTGTGCTGAGTCCATAAAAATACTAAACTAACAAACCTTGATTGATAAAGAACTCACTGACAATGAGATTTAAATCTTTCCCATGTGGTCTTGAGTCAGTTTTTACTGCTTGGGGTTCTTTAAGACTTAATTTTAGTGTTGTGCATATCCCAGTGAAAGAAGAATGGGCATCATATTCATTTCTACAGGGAGGAAAGTCTGTATTAGCATATTCTGCTGTAATGCCAGTAAGTTGAGATATTAATGATCATTAAATTTGTCTTATATACCTCTAATAGAGCCATAAAGTTCCCTGTTCAACTTTCTCTCTTCAGTTGCAATGAGGAGAATCAATTTTTAATATGATAATTCCAAACCTATTCTTTCTTCATGTATTCTTTTTCAAAGAGGAAAAACCACTTCCTTTTTACTTTTTGGATAATGCTTTTAAAATATTTTATAACTTTTGCTTTGGCTGTTCTAGTTGTCTAACATGACCCATCCTGTTAATGAGTTAAGCTCACTCTGACTTGTGCTAATGCAAGTCAGAAAAAAGTTACTACTCCTTGTGTAGTAAACTTTAAAATACAGTTCTTATTAACTATTATTAAATCGCCCTCAACCTTTTTATAAACCAAAGTAGTTATATTTTACTGTGGACTGTTTCTTAAATGATTTGCAAAAAACCAATCTTGTAATCAAATCCATTTAAAATAGGGTGTCCTAACGTCTTCCATACAGTGATTTAGTTTTGTCTTGGTAATATTCCATTAGCACTGGTGGTTTTTATTTTAAATCATGACATGGATTGTTAAGCTAGAGCATCAATAGAGCAGAAGTTGTTGGCATATACTAATTATTAAGATTCAAGGAATTTCTTAATTTTAATATTTGAAGATATAATTTGTAGGAACTTAAAAGATTTCTTTTCAAAATACAATTTTCATACTTTAAAAACAATTTTTGGCCAAAAATATTTAAATATATTCTAAAGAGAACAAAACAACTTCACTTTTTTAGGAGTTGCTTTTTGACCGTCTCATCCTTCCGGGAGCTACCGAAATAATGTCTATGCAATAAAGCCTATGCACTTTACTCCTAAAAGACCCGTTCAGAATTTATGCATTCCTCTTTTTGTTATTGTTTTGTTTGTTTTTTTTAAAACACACAACCATATTTCATCACCTGGCTTCCCAGAACTGATTAGAAGCAATAAGTTGGAAAGCAGCAAGGCTGTAAAAGAAGTCAAATGCATGTTGCAGGAAACCACAGAAAATGGCTGATGGCAGGGGAAAACCATAGACTGTAAATCTACAGAAGGCAGACGAAGAACTCAGAAAGCATGATGTAAAGCCTCATAACAAAGTAACGAACACCCTTGCATATTGAGGGTCACACATAATAATTTATATTCATGTTGATAATTCAGTGATCAAGATAAAAATGAGGCTATTTCCTTGTTGAAAAATGCTGACATTTAAAAAGAATTTTAGTCAGCAATAACAGATACTTCATTTGAGGACTTTTAAGGAATAGAGCCAAATTACGGTTTGGGTCGCCTTCCTAAGGGGTTTTGTTTATATGGGGTTTCGTTTATATGGGGTTTCCACAGGTGTCTTATATAAGTAGCAAACATAAATTGATCCTATTGCTGCTGAAGAGACAGTGCCCTCAAGTGGAATTAAGACAAACACATTATAAAAAAAAAGAAAAGGAAAAAAAAGAGAGAGAACCACTTTATGCTGCTTGCCCTCACTCAATATTGTGCATATATTTGTTGTGCATATATTTCGATAATTTTGGCTTGAGGAGGTGCCAAGCCCTTTACCCTGTCTTGGGTAATCTTCATGTCTCATTCTGGCTTGTAGAGGGACAGATTTTTAAAAACTTTACCATTATAGAGAACCTCACTATCTGCCAGTGCGTTCTAAAAGAAAGGTTATTCCATGTGTAGATTTGCCAGATTACACATTTAATCATTAAGTTAAATGGTTAAACTTAAAATTTGGCTCTTAAGTTTTAGGAGTATTTATTTTTTAATTCCAAGAATAAAACAGATAACTATGATAGTGCTATCATCTGCTGCTATTACCCAGAATAATGGAAATGGATATGGCTACCTCAGAGAAGGATGGAATAAATACCGTATTCAGAAACCAAATAGCCACATGCATGTGACACAGAATACCTAAGAACTATTGTTTTCAGTAAGATAATTAATTAACATAATGAATTAAAGTCTTTACTTGAATTGATGAAATTGTGTAGTTTTAAACCAGTGATTCAAGTAGGGTTGAGAAGGCTATTTTAATTGCAAAAGATTAGTATCCTTGTAAAAATTTTTAATGAAAAATTGAAACTGAAAAAGAAATAATCTTTCATGTATTCCTTTCTAGTATACATAGTTAAACTTGTGGTATAAAAACATTTTATATTTGATGCTGTACTGCAGTTATATTTCTTCCTTATGTAGTCCGAGTTTTGATGGCTATAAAATTGATTTTTAAGATATATTTAATATTAAGCAGATTTATAATATCTGATATTTATGATTGAGAGAAATTAAATGATAGCTGTGATCAATGCTATTAACATTTGCCTAAGGACAAAACGTACAAGATTAAGGAAATGAAACTGAGTTAGATAAAATGTTCCATTATCAAACTATGGTACACAGGTAAATGAATTGTGGTTGAAGTTTCAGAATGTGATTTTATGGTATTTTTATTGATAAAAATGTTCAATATAATAATTGTGTTGGGTAACTTTTTACTTAAACTACCTGTACAGATATATATATAAATAGCCTTTTTGATTTGTGTGTTGCCCAAATATAGCAGCTTATCCATTTAAGTTAGGCAGGATCTATTAAAACTTCTACTTTTGAAAGTTTGAAAATGTCAGAATATGTATATAAGGTTATCTTTTACTAGAATTTGAATTCATAAATTTCAGTGCCTTGGAAAGAAACATTATTGTATTGTCTTTGGAGATAATTTACAATTGAATCTCCTTAATTAAATATGTGAGATTACAGTAGAAACAAGTAATATAGTATATCTTTTAACCTTTTAAGATATTTTTGGAAGTATGTCATTGGTGTGTGTTTTTACTAGTCCAATGAAGAATTTAAAAAGTCTTTGACCGTAATTTTAGCTCAGGTAGAGTGAAATGTAAAGTTTCTTTTTGCTTGTCCTCCAGGCGTTTTGATTTGCTGTCTTTTTACAGCATGGACACCAGATTGCTAAAAACATGCTTTGGGACTGCCAGTGAATTTATCTTTTGCGGTTTTACTACACACTTAGTAGTTCCCTTTTTTTTGAGTTAATGTTTTGGAGTTAATATCACAATGAGTTCGGGCTTATGGAGCCAAGAAAAAGTTACTTCACCCTACTGGGAAGAGCGAAAGTTACTTCACCCTCCTGGGAGGAGCGGATTTTTTATTTGCTTCTTCAAGAATGCAGTGTTACAGACAAACAAACACAAAAACTCCTTAAAGTACCAAAGGGGAGTATAGGACAGTATATCCAAGACCGTTCTGTGGGGCATTCAAGGATTCCTTCTACAAAAGGCAAGAAAAATCAGATTGGATTAAAAATTTTAGAGCAACCACATGCAGTTCTGTTTGTTGATGAAAAGGATGTTGTAGAAATAAATGAAAAATTCACAGAGTTACTTTTGGCAATTACCAATTGTGAAGAGAGGTTCAGCCTGTTTAAAAACAGAAACAGACTAAGTAAAGGCCTCCAAATAGATGTGGGCTGCCCTGTGAAAGTCCAGCTGAGATCTGGGGAAGAAAAATTACCTGGAGTTGTACGCTTCAGAGGACCCTTATTAGCAGAGAGGACAGTATCGGGAATATTCTTTGGAGTAGAATTACTGGTAAGTTTGATAAGCCATTTTAGTGGGCTGTGTGTATGTGTGTCTGTGTCTGTGTGTGCACACGTGTTTTTTCCCCCTTTTAAATACAAAATAAGTTTTCCCAGAAATCTTCTGTAATTTTTAATATTCATAATCCTTAGGATTTACTTTCTAATGGTAAATTGAGATGATGCAAAGATGCTGCATTGAAAACTTTTAAAAACTACCTACTATAGTAGGAAATGCAAGTAGATGATGTAATTATTGAAGACTTTCATATCTTAGAAATTTTAACACTGAATGTTAAAAATGAACTCTATCAATTGTAAACGAATTCATCACTTAAAATTGTTAATTATCCTGTGATATTATCATCTGTAGGTTTCTCACTTTTTCTTAAAGTGTACTATTAAGTAGTGAATTTTGGTTATATAAGTTGCAGCAATTTCAACTTGCTTATAGTTGTCCCTGATAATGCACGTGAAAATCATCTTGGAATTTGCTTCTACCAAGAACTCTGTGATAATGTTTCCAAAATTAATATTAATTCTCAAGAACTTAAATGTCAGTTATATTTTGACATTTTTGCAAAGTGGAATTTCATGCCTTGTTTGCTTTTTGTTTCTGTTTTTGCGGTACGCGGGCCTCTCACTGCCGTGGCCTCTCCCGCCGCGGAGCACAGGCTCCGGACGCGCAGTCTCAGCGGCCATGGCTCACAGGCCCAGCCGCTCCGGGGCATGCGGGATCCTCCCGGACCGGGGCACGAACCCGTGTCCCCTGCATCGGCAGGCGGACTCCCAACCACTGCGCCACCAGGGAAGCCCTTGTTTGCTTTAATTTTTTAAAGCAGCTATTGTAAAACAATTGGAGATTTGAATCCTAACTATGCCATTTGCTAGCTGGGTTACCAGGTTATTTAAGCAAGCCACTTCTCTAAATCTGCTTCCTCATCTGTAAAATAGTATTGTTATACACAACTTGCAGTGTTTTTGTGATATATTGATTCAGGATTTAGCACAGTGGCTGGCACACAGTAAGCACTCAATAAATGGAGCTAGCATTACTGTCACATTAAAGTTTTCTTTTTATGACAAAATTTTTGTTAAAATCACAATGTAGAATCTAGCCCAAGCTCTCTCACAGTAATGATTTGAAATTATCAAGTAATTTTATTTCAGCATCAGATACAGTTTCTTCCTTATTTTTTAAACACCCTAAATTCAATATCAACTTCTAATAATTATATTTCTTATATGTGTCATTTAGAATTTGTTCAGTGATTTCTCTGAAGTCCCCAGAGTGGATCTTTTTCTTTAGGGATCATCTTTCTCTATCAGTCAATCATTTTTTTTTCTCTCATTTAAAAACTAGGAAGAAGGTCGTGGCCAAGGTTTCACTGATGGGATATATCAAGGGAAACAGCTTTTTCAGTGTGATGAAGATTGTGGAGTATTTGTTGCATTGGACAAGCTAGAACTCATAGAAGATGATGACACTGGATTGGAAAGTGATTATGCAGGTCCAGTGGACACAATGCAAGTTGAACTTCCCCCTCTGGAAATAAACTCCAGAGTTTCTTTGAAGCTTGGAGAAACTATAGAATCTGGAACAGTTATATTCTGTGATGTTTTGCCAGGCAAAGAAAGCTTGGGATATTTTGTAGGTGTGGACATGGTAAGAAACTTTTGAATTATGTTATCTTTATGAATATATCTATTAGCTTTATGACCAATTTAGGTACAAATTAAACACTTTGAATATCTAAAATGGACTAATTTGTAGTAATTTAAAGAACACTTTATAATTTGTCTTTGGTAGAGGAACATTGATAGGGGACAGGAGTCTAGCTGTAGATTTACACTTACTCGTTTTTCCAGTTTGAATAAACTGGAATAATGTTTTCAGTCTTTAAATTTGCTCTATAATAGCTGACCAATAAACAGAAAAAAACCCCACTGAAATATATTGCATGATGTCTTATTTTTCTTTATTTTGAAAAGGGTTTTTTTTTCCTGTTATCTGTTTCTCTTTTTGTAATATTTTGCTGAATTTAATTGGCTGATCTGATTTTAATGAGTAGTGTGTAAAAGTCATTCCTGGAAAATATCGATACCTGAATAGAGGAAAGGCACATTGCTTTAGAGGAGAAGACAATTAGAGTGTCTTCTTAGGATGTAATTCACTCAAAAGAGGTTTTTTTTACTGTGATAAAATGTATGTGACATAAAATTTACCAATTTAACCACCTTAAAGTGACATTGAGTACATTCACATTTTTGTGCACCCATCACCCCTGTTCATCTCCAGCGCAAACTGAAACTCTGTACCTATTAAACAACAACTCCCTATTACTCACTCCTTTCAGCCAGTATTCTACTGGTAACCAGAATTCTTTCTGTCTCTGTGAATTTGCTTATTCTAGGTGCTTCATTAAGTGGGATCATACAATATTTGTCCTTTTGTTTGTGTCACTTATTTTTAATGTTACCTTACAATCATATTTGTTAATTATGGTTACATCCCAATATGGCAAATTGGACGATACCTGTGAGATTAAGAGAAGGAGAAGAAAAAGTCTTGAGAACATTTTTCTCATAGATTGAAAATACGGACAGGAATTTGTTAGGTGTAATGAAGGAAATTCGTACGGAATTATTAAATACTAGAAAGAGTTGGGAGAGGATGTGAGTAATAGACTTGTACTTACAGTGTTTTTCGTGATTATTTTTATCAATTCAGGTACACTTTTTAGTAGGATATGAATGTTCTAGCGTAAGTTTCTCTTACGCTGTGCTTGGAAATTCTGGGAAATTCTATTTGATATCCATTAGTGACTATGTTGTTTGGACAAACACTTACTGAACATTTACCATGTGAGAAGTTAGAGCCAGTGTTAAACATGTGGGTCCCTCGGGATAGCTAGAAATAAAGCACATCTTTAAACCATTATTCTTTAAATATTCAGAACTTGTTTAGAGAAGAGGTTGTGGGCTGAGTGGAGGGAAGGTTGGAGAAAGAGGGCCACTGGTCACTGGGGTTAGTTTCCTCTTGCTTTAGGTCATTTGGGCCTTAAACTTGGCAAAAGCCATTTAGGCCTGTCGCTCCTTAGATGGCAGTCTAGGGAGCATCTTGTTTACTTGGGGCAGGCTGCCTAGTGATTGCACCGCCAGCTTCTCCCCCTGCCTCTGTCTGTCTTCCAGTTGGCTTGTGCAAGCATTCATTCCAAACCCCTCTGGTGCACTCCTTGAAAGGAAAGTTCTGGCAAATGCAATAGTGTTCATCTCCTATTTCTGATGACATTTCGCATGCTGTCCATATTGGTGCTCAGGGCAGTTGTCTGACTGGGCCATCTCTTAATCTAGCTCCATGAACAGCACTTGTACAGTGCTGTTCATGGAGTACATTTTTATAATTAATATAAAAATCTCCATTTTGGAGGGAATTCTTGCATACCCATAAAATGACAAAAGAACAGTTAAAAAAAAATAGACTTTCTGTCTACAGAAAGGCACACAGAAATTCAAATAGAATATTTAAGTGCTCAGGGAATGTGAAGTGACTAGAGCAAGCTAGGGTTAATTAGGGGCAGATTTCTAGCTGAAACAGTGTATGATTAATACATCTACCTATGTAGATGGATTGTTATTATATAGATAAGTATTGTCCAGTGAAATATGACAAATGCTTTTGATCCCTTGCTCATCCATGGGTTTACTATGGCTTGATTGTTCTTGGATCTCATTTGTTGGAGGATCTTTTTATGGAAAATACAGACTTTCATATTTATGTTTTGTTGAGGAGGGTTTTAAAGTTTATTCTATTATTTAATTTCTAGGATAATCCTATTGGCAACTGGGATGGAAGATTTGATGGAGTACAGCTTTGTAGTTTTGCAAGTGTTGAAAGTACAATTCTCTTGCATATCAATGATATCATCCCAGGTATGTTTTCTTTGTGTTTTAAATATTATGAAGGCAGAGCTTCTAAGACATATTTAGTTATGGGGATGTAAATATAAGCTTCAAGATGCATTTTTGGAACTTGACTTTTATATTATGGAATTGTTATTACATAGAACATCCTTACCCCCAAATAAAAACAATATTTAAAGATTTGCATTTCTAAAAGTATGTGAGTATGGGGTAGCATTTATTCATTATTGTTCACTTTTTCATTATGTTTCCCTTCTAAGTGGGTGAAAAAAAAACCCTTTCTGATAATTGCAAGGATCAGAAAATGTAATAAACTGCTACCTGTTTGAGTGGGAGCCTGGTTTAAACTAGAAGCCTTTAAGCGGAAGTTGGTCATTTAATATAATCTAATATACTGTGGAGAGGATTCTTGCTGGATGCCCTACGATATCCCTTCCAGTTTTGAGAATGGCGTAATTGATCAGGCTTCATGACTCTGTAGTCAGAAACAGATCACTCAACTTTTACATCTTAAAAATAATCTTAAGCAACCTTTTATTTTACCCTAAACAAGTAACACCTAATGGCTGCTGTCAACTAATTGATAAATTCCGATTGATAGCAGCATCAACATCACCTTCTCCCTGCTCCTAGTAGAATTCCAATTATCAGCTAGTCTGTTGGTAGTCATGGAACTAACAGAGGCAGTCAGAGGTGGTGATTCTTATTGAGCATTGAAAGTCTGCATTCAGTAGCCACAAATTATGAATCTCTTAATTAGATTGGACATTAATTCTTAATTAGTTTCTACATTCTTGACAAACTTATAAGGAAGGTCTTAATTATCCCCATTTTGCTGATAAAAAACTGAGGATTAGATAGAGATAAGACTGACTAGGATCAAGTAACATCCTAGTTGATTCTGGTAGAGCCAAAATTCAAATCCAGACTTGTCTGATTGTAAAGCTCTGACCTTTTCAGTACCCCCTCACCCCAAATCCTGTGTGTGTACTTAGGATATGAAGCCCTGCATAGAAGTACATGATTCTCAGCCTCACATGTATACTTGGGAATATTGTTTTCCATGGAGGTGTATTTTGTCTTTAATGCTTTAAAAGCTGAATTTTACTATAGCAAGGATCACAACTGAACAAAATGTTTTTTTTGCTTGCAGTGTTATTTCATTATTGTTGATTTTGACACATAACACTTTTGAGTTCCCCAAAACTCAAAAGGTCATTTCAGGTCCTCAGTTTCTTTTTTTGTAAAAATGAAGGGGCTAATACTAGGTGATCTTTGAGATTCCTTCTAGCCTGCCCTCTTTGTCCTTCCTGTTTCCCTGTTGGCTTGGCAAGTAATAAATGCTTGTTTTGCTGAGTTAGGAAATGCTTTCTACGTTAGCTTTTAGCCTTACAGCAAGAGTGCATTAATTTAGTTGGAGGTATGGGATTCAAATGATAGCTTTATGTTGATTTTGCTTTGTAAACTCTGACATACTTGGTTTTCCTTGACTTCTTTAAAATCAGTTTTTAATTTCTTACACATTGGATTCTTAGCTGTTTCTTTGCTTCCCTTTGGAAACAAATGGTTTACATTCAGTGGAAAGTATACATGTGCTTTATATTTTACCTAGTAATATTTAATTTACCTTTTCATGACTGCTTATGGAAAAACACAATTTGTGATCTTATAAATCAAAATACTTTTTAATGTTACAATAAATGCTTATTGTTTAAAAAGCACTTTTGTAAAAGGTTGTTCCTTCATCAAATATTATTAAAGCCTTACTTAGGCTTCTTTGAGGTGTTGAGGGTATAGTAGGAAGCAAAATAGGTAAAAGGTCTTCCCACATGGAGGTTTTATTCTAGTGAGTGAAGACAGACAATAGATAAGACATATGGTCAATTAGATGGTGATTGCATGGAGAATGACAAGGCAAGGTGGAAGGGGAGTGCTGGGTTGTGAGGGGTGGGATTTTTCTACTTTATATAGGGTAGTCCTAGTGAGCCTCTCTAATGTGGTGACATTTGAGCTCTTGACATGAAGGAGATTTGAGGGCTTGGCCAGCTTGAGGAATAGCAAGGGGTTCATTGTGGCTTGAATGAGGGAGAGTGATGGGAGAGGTAGTGGAGCTGGACCAGGCAGGGCCAAGTGGGCTGGTGTATGGATTCTTGGCTTTACTCTGAGGGAGATGGGGAGCTCAGCTGGGTTTTGAGTGAAGGACAACTTAACCCTAACTTACATTTTAAAATGATCGCTTTGGCTGCGTGTTAGAAGGCAAAAACGGAAATCAGGAGGAGGACTGTTGCAATTATCCATATGAGAGATAGAGGATGGTGACTTGGATTGAGGTGGTATATTGGGGTGGTATATAATATATTGTTTAGCCTGTTTTTAAACTTAGTATAAACAGAGTCACAGTGATTGTATTCTTTAATGCTTGCATCATTTACTTAAAGTGTATTTTGAGAGTCTTTCCTGCAGATGATGGTATTGGTAGTCTGTTCACCCTCACTGCTTCATAGTATATTTCATTGTGTGAATACTTCATGATTTAATAACCCATTCTAATGTGAATGGATGTTTGGGTTTTGTGTATTTCCGTATCCTCTTCACCACTTGGTACTGATTAATATTTTTGCCAATCTGATGCCTTTGGGAAATGGTATCTCAAGGTGGTTTTAATTTGTAGTTTCCTGATTATAAGTAGGGTTGAATAACTTTTCATATGTTTATGGAACATTTGTGTCTTCTATTAAATACCTGTTTGTGTCTTTGCTCAGTTTTCTGTTGATTTGTTTGTCTATTTATTGATCTATGAGTTCTCTATTTTAAACTTTTAATAAAATATTTTTTCAACATTTTATTATGAAATTTCAAACATATGGAAAAGTTGAGAGAATTTTATACTGAACATCCCTATTCCTATGACCTAGAGTCTACACTTAATATTTTTGTACTTGCTTTATCATCTATTTACCCATCCCTCTATCCATGCACTGATCCACCATTTTTTTAATGCATTTCAAAATAAGTTACAGACATCAGTACACTTCCTCCTAAATACTTCAGCGCACATATAATTAGCTAGAGATAAGTATTTAGGGTTTTTTTTCCTTTTGAGATAAAAGACATACATGTAATGAAATATACATTGTATCATTTGAGTTTTGACCAATACAAATACCCTTGAGTTTAGTAACTATCAAGTTACTAAAATAATTTTTAATAAGAAATGCATTCACATAGCTCAAGTCAAAATAATAAAACAGTATAGGAGGGTATCTTGTTTCCATTCTTATCCCCTCTGCTCCAGTTGCCCCCTCATTCCTCTCCTTGCCTCCCATTAGTAACTGTTTTTTTTTAGTTTCTTGTATATCTTTCCAGAGTTTCTTTACACAATATAAATACGTAGTCTTTCTTCCCTTTTGAGGCATGAAGCTTACTATTTACGCTGTTCTGAACGTGCTTTTATTCTCTTCACTCTGTATCTTGGAGCTCTTTGTATATCTGAATAGAGAGGTTCTTCTCATTATTTACAGTGTTTATTTTTCCATTGTATTGTGGTTCCATAATTTATTGATTCATATTGATGGGTATTTGGATTGTTTCTAATTTTTTACCATTACAAACAATGCTGCATAGCCTTGTACATATATATTTTCCACATGTGCTTAACTTATCTATAGGATAAATTCCCAGAAGTGGGATTGTTTGGTGAAAAGCTGCATACCTTTGTATTGTTCTAGATACTGCTAAACTGCTTTCAGTAGTGGATATAACAATTTATATTCCTACCAGCAGAGTGTGAGGGTGATTTATTTTTTTATTTTGTTTTTTATTTTTCTATTGAAGTATAGTTGATTTACAGTGTTGTGTTTCTGGTGTACAGCAAGGTGATTCAGTTTTACATATATATATATATACACGTCTGTGTGTGTTTGTGTGTGTGTACACACACTCAAATTCTTTTCCATTATGGTTTACTACAGGATACTGAATATAGTTCCCTGTGCTATACAGTAGGACCTTGTTGTTTATCTATTTTATATAGTAGTTTGTTTCTGCTAATCCCAAACTCCTAGTTTACCCCTTCCCCACCCCCTTTCCCCTTTGGTAACCATAAGTTTGTTTTCTATGTCTTGTGAGTCTGTTTCTGTTTTGCAAATAAATTCATTTGTATAATATTTTAGATTCTACAAATAAGTGATATCATATGATATTTGTCTTTGTCTGAGACCTAGAGATTATCATACTAAGTGACTTACTTCACTTAGTATGATAATCTCTAGGTCCATCTGTGTTGCTGCAAATGGCATTTTTTTCATTCTTTTTTATGGCTGAGTAATATTCCATTGTATACATATACTGCATCTTCTTTATCCTTTCATCTGTTGATGAACATTTAGGTTGCTTCCATTTCTTGGCTATTGTAATAGTGCTGCTGTGAATATTGGAGTGCATGTATCTTTTTGAATTAGAGTTTTCTTCAGATATATGCTTAGGAGTGGGATTGCTGGATCATATGGTAGCGCTATTTTTAGTTTTTTAAAAAAAATATTTATTTATTTGGTTGCACCAGGTCTTAGTTGTGGGAGGCAGCATGTGGGCTCCTTAGTTGTGGCATGCGAACTCTTAGTTGTGGCATGCATGTGGAATCTAGTTCCCTGACCAGGGATCGAACCCGGGCCCCCTGCATTGGGAGCGTGGAGATTTATCCACTGCAGTTCCAGGGAAGTCCCTCTATTTTTAGTTTTTTAAGGAACCTCCACACTGTTTTCCTTAGTGGCTGCGACAGTTTACATTCTCACCAACAGCATAGGAGGGTTTCATGAGGGGGATTTTTTTATAGCCTTGTCATAGATGTTTTTTCCAATGTGATAGGTGAAGGATATATTTCAGTATAGTTTTAATTTGCATGTCTGTGATGAATGTGGTTGAGCATCCTTTTGTATGATTAAGAGAAATTTGTGTTTCTCTTTCTGTGGACTGTTTATACATATTTATTGTCTATTTTAAAAAGTTGGATT